TATAGAAGAATTTACACACCAGATTCCCTGAAAGCTAAAGTATTGTTCTGTAACTTACACTTGAAGCAGTCTGCTCAGTGTGTAACCACAACTGATTTTATAAAAAATAACTTACCATTGATAACCTGGAAGGTGGACTACTTGTAAGTGGCTGGTGTTTACTGATTAAACCATGGAAGTTTTCATGATACCCAAGCATGTTGCTGAAACTGATGCATTTGAAAGAGCTGTTGAAATAATGCAGAACTTTGGTTTTATAAGAATCTACTCATGTTTTAAAAGTATTTAACTACGTAGACCACAATTATAGAAAGCTCAGTAATGCTGCTAATGACGTTTGTAAACTATATCTGTAATGTAGTGCAATATTTTTATATTTCACTGGGAGAGGCAGTAGAGACATCATAGTTGTACTTTAGTGCAAGCGGGGGAACACTCCAAATAGCCTAGAGTATAGTAAGGTATAAAGCTTCAATGAAAAAAGCTGTATTATATTACATTACTGATGTAATCTTGCTGCCATGCTATGTATCAATAGCTAAAAAATAATAATAAAGACTACCACAGAAAACAAGAATATCTTCATTTAATGACATCTTTAAAAAAGGTGATTGCTGCATCTCTATGGAATTATCTTATGGTATAATTTGGCCATGCAGAAAAGCATAACAAAGTCCACTTTTCCTAAACAAAATTGCTGTTTTGCAGACTGCCCCAAAACATTTTTTTACTATTGTTTCCTTATGGATTATCAAGTTTATGGGTTTTCTTTGGCTATGTATTAGTAATTAGACTTTAAACATTTTCTACGTTAGTGTTAGCTGAATGAATGGTTTAGACAAACTGAGCAACATTTTAGCATAGCAATCATAATAGGCTATATTTCTTCATATCAGGCTTTACATTCAATATCAGAAGTACTTGAAATAAGTGGCTATTTTGTGATGCTGGGAGGAGAAAACACAAACCTAAAAATTTTGAGGGGTACTATCAAGTTCTAAATGTATAGCTTAATTTTTTTAAAGCAATTTGGAAATATTTGGCTCTTACTAATAAGATAAATAATAAAATCTTAAGTTCCCTAAAAGTGAATAAATTTTAAATACCTACTTTTAAAAATATTCCTTAACTTCCAAATTGACATAACAGCTTTTCTTACCAAAAAAAAAGGGAGAGGTTCCCCTAATTCCTTTTGGGCCATAGATCCCCTTTTAAGATCTGATTAAAGATGTGGACTTTCACCACAGGAAGATACCCATTGGCACACCATTCAAAATGTATCAGATTTCAAGGGTTTTACGGAACTCCCCTGGGTTTATGTCAAATGGGTGGATATTACAGCTATTTTCATCAGGTATGGTTATTTGTTGACAACCAACAGGACAACAGTGTTTATAGATGCAAGGATAACTTACTGGTTTTTTTCCACATTGAATGTGTCTAATTACATATCTCAATTTAAAATAAATTGTGGGAAGCCAAAAAAGTATGGTCAAGCTAACCCGGAGTGGCTTTTACCTGATTCCTACAAGCACAGAAGAATAGTTTCTAATTAAATATCCACAGTCAAAATGATACCTTATGTATTTTATTCCAACAACATTTGGTTTATAAAGGAATACAAACAGGCACAAAACATGATTCAGAAGATTTATTAAGTAAACTTGGTAAAATATGGACAGATGCACTTAGCAGTCAAACAGCTGAATATTCATTGCTACCTCATTCAGGTTTTTGTATCTGTATTACCAGGTACGAACATAAAAACCTCTCTTCAAAAAATAAATGTTCAGAGAACTGTATGTTATTTGTTCTTGTACGTACATTTAAAAAAAAAAAAACTTTTCAGTCTTGCTAACCAAGAATATTAGTCATATTCTAGTCTATGACTTATAATTTTTTTCCCCAAGTACAACCTATCTTTTGCTCCCAAAGCAGTTCTGAAGGTTTTATTTATATTTTATCTTATCTTGAAGGACCAACAGCAGGCATACCTTTGCCAGGCCTTCTTGCAGAAAGACACAGAGCCATGAAGGCAAAAATAAAATTGCAATAAAGTATACGGTATTGGGGGCAGGGAGAACCAGAAACCCTCAAAGAGAACCAATTTGTAACACGTTCTTTTTTAAGGCTCTACCCCTGTAGAAGTAAGAAACTAGCCTGCCTTTTTAGCCACATGAGAATTTCCTCCAGAGCCATCTTCCAAAGTAGCAGACTTGGCCAAGTTGACCAATGCCAAATAAGTGACTTGGAAGTTTGTTTGCTTCAAACGCACTGCAGTTGGAAACCAGACTTGAAATAATCTAAGCCCCACAGAAAAGCTTCATGAAACAAAGGAAGTGTTACTTTCCTAGAGAATAAGAAAGTCACAAGATTGAGGAGTCTTTGTTCTAAAGTTCTTTGCTCCTTGATGTCCAAGTTAACACAAACACAATCTTAGCTTAACAAAACTAAGTAATTTTTGTTTATGATTATAGAACTGCAGGATTAACAACTATTATTAGAGACATTCCACACTGCACACTCCAGTCGTATCTCTTAACAAAACGACATAAATTGACAATGTTCACTAACAGTATTTGCTGTTACACTGAAAAGGCACATCAATGTTGTCATGCTTAGAAAAATACACGACACTGAACACTGGATGATGTAGTTAGCACATACATTTTTAGATGTTCCATTTTTCTTTTCTGCCTGATCACTATTATTTTTACTTCTTAATATATGATTCAAGACATAATTTCATTCCTCATTTTCATTTAAAACTTGTCTTCACATTGATGTGAACAACTTTCAGGAATCTAAAAAATCATAGTTTCAGACAACCTAAAATAAACATATTCCTAGAAAACACTTGGATGATCTGCAAACAGATCAAAGATATAGTCAGATATTGAAGTCAGAGCATCTGTTTTTAGCCTCTTGTTTCTTTTTCTAAAACTTGAAGTAGATGGCGATTAACCTTATCATGTTTAAACAACCTTGACAGTGTAAGGTACATGTACCCTCAGTTTTCTTTCATCCAGTAAGACAATCAAGTATGCATCTTAAAGGGAGAGCTTTTAGTTCATAACAATATGTTTGGTTGCTTTTCTCTGCTTTCAGAATATTTACTATTTTTCCCTTATTGGCTTTAGTGTCTGCTGCCAACCAGATAACGTGTTAACATACAATTTACAACTCTTCTAGGTAGGTGATTACATAGGAAACTAACGCCAGCTAAGATTTATGGATTCAAAAGATAACTGACACAAGTTCTTGTCCTCTACACTTGAGAGAACTAGCTCTGTAACTCATAAATATATTGATAGTAACTACAAGTTAAATAACACTCATGCAGTGTCACTATATAACTTGCTGTCTTACTTGATTCTGTTTTTCAGACTTCATTCTAGTTTCTCTTTGTTAGAAGAGTCTCAGAGATAATGTGTGCTTTAATTTTAAACACTCATTACCAATATGATTTTTGCCCAAATGTTTGCTAATGTAAGTTAAAAAATTATATTTGGTTTGGATTCAAATATTTATAGATTTACACAATACCTATTTCATCAAAATATATTGTATGATATTTAATAAAATCAAATACATAAAATAAAGTTTCAACACTATTTATACAAACCCCTAGAAAAGCTTCTTTTTCTTTATAAGGCTGTTGGCAATCGACCATAACCATGGAAAAGAAATAATAACCTTTGGTTTTACTCTTTCACCAGGGATGGATGGTATGACTAAGACAGTTCTGGATGAGTCGTGTCACTGGAAACACTGTTTTATACAATTAAACACTTGGACGATTTTTGAGGGTCTCAGTCACTTTCAGATTCTTCATCATCACCTATTGGATAGGACTGGATATTATTCTGAGTGTACATTTTTGTTTTAATAGGGCAGTTGTGATCCATGAGAATAGCCTAAAAGAGAGCAAAGTGCAAGTATATTAACTTCTTGTTTCATAAAGATAAGATGGTTTTAACCTACTGTTTTTAAGGATTATTAATTTGAAAGCTATGTAGTATTACTTGCTATTAACCAGTCATTTGGAGCAATCGCCAGACGCCTGACCTAAAAGACCTGTAGTTCTACACTCTAAAAATTCCAGGCAATTGGAGACAGCAGAAGTGGTCCCTGCAGTATTTTCATTATATCTGTCAGGGGCCTTAAGTCTACTGTGGGAACTTATACTCCATGAAGCAAGGGATAGGCAGGTTAGGTTTGTTATACTTAGAATCTTGGAATTGGGGAATGGGGATCCTGGAGGTCACCCAGTCCAACTTCTGTTTACAGACATCATTGTGGCAACACACCTTGAAAAGATTTGCTCTCTCCTTAATGAAAGAAGCCCTCACGTGTGAGAAATGTACCTAAGTCTGGACTACAACCCGTTTCCATTGTTTGCATTCATGAATCTGGTTCTGTTATCTTTTTCTTTTTTTCCTTTTTTTGTTTGAAACGAAGTCTTGCTTCATCAGCCAGGCTGGATCGTGGTGTTATGATCTTGGCTCACTGCAACCTCCACCTCCTGGGTTCAAGCAATCCTCCCACCTCAGCCTCCTAAGTAGCTGATATTACAGGTGTGCACCATCACGCCCAGCTACTTTTTTTGTATTTCTAGTAGAGACAGGGTTTCACCATGTTGGCCAGGCTGGTCTTAGACTCCTGACTTCAAGTGATCCCCCTCCTCAGCCTCCCAAAGTGCTGGGACTACAGACATGAGCCACTGCACCCGGCCAGTTCTGATATGTTCACAGGCTGCCCTTACAATCTTTTGTTGTTGTTTTGAGACAGAGTCTCACTCATGCCATAGTGCACTGGTGCAATCTCAGCTCACTGCTGCTTCCCGGACTCAAGCCATCTTTCCACCTCAGACTCCTGAGTAGCTGTGACTACATGCATATGCCACCAAGCCTGGCTAATTTTCAATTTTTTTTTTTTTTTTTTTTGGGTAGGGATGAGATCTCACTATATTGCCCAGGTTGCTCAAACTCCTGGGCTCAAGTGATCTTCCTGCCTCAACTTCCCAAAGTGGTAGGATTACAGGTGCAAGTGACCATGCCTGGCCCCCAATCTTTTAAGACCATATTATCATGGCCCGTTAGATTTTTTCTCAGGCAAAACATGCTAGAGCTATTCTTTTTTCACACATGTGATTTTCAGACCACCTCTCCCCAATCCTAGCTGTCCTCTAGCTTAAATATATTTTTTTAAAATCCTCTTCTTATGAGCATGAAACTCTCATGCCCTCCTTTATTGTTACTGAAAATTTAAAAACTGTGACAAAAACGTGCTGCTCTGCTTTCAAACCAGATTGTCAAATAAGTATTTGCTTATATTTGATAACACAGCTGGCATTTATCATGCCAAGAGCATGCTAAGCATTTTAGAGAAAATGCATCACAATAACCCTCTGTGGGAGGTGAGAAAACAGGCACGGAGCAGTTTAAGAATTTGACCGAGGGGTGTACAGCTAGGATGGGGCAGACAGGAGTCGCAGCACTCCATGGTAGTTAGACGAGCACAGAGGACAGCAAGGGGGCGTCATGTGCAACTAAAATGAATTATCAGGTATGTCTTGAGTTTATCTCCATGTGAACTACTCCCCCAATATTTTCTTTTTGCAGTTTGCAAATCTAAATAGATAAAAATGTATCTGATGTTGGCCTATTGCAACCCATCTTGTCTGTTAGCTATTACTCCCAGCTCTTGTCCCCAGATAAGACTCCACTCAGTGCTTAACCCATTTATCATTTCCCAGACATTCTCCAGTGATCTGTGTAACATGTGAAGATGAGGACTTCCTTGACCCTCTAAGTTAGGCTGCCAGCTCAACCTGTCAGCTTCTAACTTAACTGTTTCTTTTTATGCTGCTTGCCAAGTGAATTGATACTTGTATTCAATAAAGAGCTCAATTTTTAAAATAATGGCGGCACTAGACTTGGTACACCAGGACCGTTCTCCCCACGTAACACAAAGGTTTAACCCCCCTAACAATAGATGTCTCATCACCCCAAGATTAATGATTCTCGAGGAAATGTAGGGGTGGAGAGATGGAGCAGGTTAAAACATGAAATTTGACAATGGTCCTCTCGTGACAATGGTGTCAACAAACTTTGAGAAACACTGCCCTAGTTACATGGCATTATCTAAGACTATAGCACTGTCATCTGGCTGACAGCAGCTGACGGAACACCTATGAGGTGTTGCATGTCAGTGCCCTTAAGGTCCTATCCCAGCATCTTAGTTACCTCCCTGCACGGGCAAGAACAGGGACTCCAGGGTCCCGGGTGGAGTGCTCACTTCTGATTCAGTGCTCACTTCTGATTCAGTGCCCAGGGAAAGCTATCCTGTAGAGGCGGGAGTTGAGGTAAACTTTGAAAGATGGAAAAGATTTGGACAGCAAGGGAGGTGGCAATGAGTAAAACATGAGTTATTTACCAAGCAGGACACTAAGCAAGCCACCCTGGCCACCACAGACGTCTGCTGAGGAGGCACCGTGAGATACCAGTTGGGACACCCAACTGGAATGCAGGGCATGGGGCCTCGATCCTTGCATGGCCCCCAGACAGGCAGGTCACCTTATAAAGAATGGTCATCACTACCTTATTCCTAATTGCCTTCCATCTCTTGGCTCATCCACATTAGACCTGAATGTATAAATATGTCATTTTAAGGACCCCGGAACCTAGGACTGGGCACATGATATGAACACAACAAAAAAACTGCACTGCAGGAAAAGCAGTTCAGTCAGACCAATTATTTGGCATCATGCAGACTTAACTGACCAGCATTTGTCAATTCACCCAAACCATATTAACAGCCTGTTTCAGGTAAAGTTTTCTTCCTTTAAACGTTCTGTAGCCTTTAAAACCTAGCTCGCTGGCTTCCAAACCTCTCTTGAAAGATTTATTGTGCAATAATTGTACTTTTAAAAAAAAGTATACACAAATAAGCCAGGTGGCATGTAATGTTTCAAAAGTGCCATGAAGAAAGGCATGAACAGCATCAAGCGGGTCAGTCAGGTGCCCAGGGAACAAGCAGGGTGGCCGCAATGCAGGCAGGTAAATTAAACCTGCTCTCCACACACTGCTGTGGTGAGGAAGGTGTGTTTGACTCGCAACCGAAGAGAAAATCAATAGGAGGGGATTGGCATTTGAATTCAGAACAAAGCCCACTTACTGAGAGGTGAGCCCCAGCCCCTCCAAATGCCCGTTTCATGAGTTAGGATCTCCTAAGTGGTAAAAACAAACAAACAAACAAACATGGTGGACCAAATGAAAAGTAAAAGTAATACAAAGCTGGGGTAGTGAACCCATAAAAGCATTAAAAGATAAGAGTGCCAGTCTTTGAGATTTTGATAGGTACCGGGCCTTCTGAGTAGGCAAGTTTTATTCTCTTTAACATAACTAGAAAAGCAATGATGGTTTTGCACCCACTATTTAAATGCCTGCAAAGGGCCAAATTCTATAAACAACTTATAACATGTAGAATGTGGTCTATCTCAGCAGCCTCCGGCTACCCCCTTGCCCCACCCATGGCATCCAGAAAACAGAGCTGTTGCTGGAAGGGCTTTATGGAACAACTATCAGAGCCATCCAGGAAAAGAAAGCTGCACTCCTCAAACCACCTAATTTCTTGTCTTAGCAACAATTAGAAACTTCAAGAGTAAAATTAAGAAGCGTGCCTTGTCTTTAAAAATAATTCTTCAACCTGGAAAAAAAAAAATCCACAACACAGCTCTTCTCAACTGGGAACTTTGAGAGTGAAGTGCTACCATGTAACTGTCTTATAACACAATTTTCCTCAAATGGTAATGTTGATATTTCCTGTATGCAGAGGGACTTGAGTAACAGGTTTTTTTCTCCACCTATACTGATAATGCTGATTATAAAAAATGGAAATCCAGTAAACCAAATGGAAGACAAACTCACATGCTCATAAACTAGTTCATGATTCTATCCCTGGTGATCCATTAAAACAGCATTATACCTTACAATATAAAACAGCTTAAGTCCAAACACCTTGTTATAAGGATGCTGTCTAATGGAAGAATGATTTGCTAAGGGTCATATGCCTTCTGGCCCTCACATCCCCCAGCATTTGGCAACTGCTCATCCTGAATGCCAGCAGTTGTCTGCTCTGGGGTTTCTCAACTGCATGGTCATTGATTCTTCCTCCTCCCTCACACACTGCTGTCCTGCCTGCATGCCCCCTTATCATTAGGTGCTGTCGGCCGCCACCGCTGGCTTCCTGCTCTGCTTACACAATGAGTAGGCAGCAGCCGCTAGTCACCACTCTCAAATGTCACCATTAGGCCAGTCGAATGGCATCCGACGTGATGCCTTCAATTACGGGCATCATTGATGGGCAGCGAGACGCAAGCCTTCTCAAGTTTTTAATGATTTATCTTGCTAGGTGCTTATTAAGGATTGTAACATCTTGCAGTGAAAGTGGCTTTCTGGAAACCTATAATTCTTACTGTTTTGCCTTTCAGGACCGTCTCTTCCACTTCCTTCAGCATTTTTTTAAAAAATGAACTAAAGTATTCGTTTAAATTGGGAAAGAGGAGGGGTATTGAGGCCTGCCTTCTGCTAGTCCTTCTGCGGAACACAGTGGCTGGGCAAGCACCTTCCCTGCTCGTCCTCTGACCTCATTCATTTCCCAAGGCCACAGATAAGCCATCAGGCTGCCGTTCGCAAACGGACATCACAACAGCCACTGATGTTGGCCGGCTTGAAAAGGGGAGCCCATTCATCTGTTTTGGGGTCTGTATAGCAAAAGGAAACTCTCACATCACAGAGGAGGAAAAAGAGAGAAAATTCAGGTATTGCTGGACTGACAGGGGAAGCCAGAGAGTCAGATAAGCAGGAAAGATTTGGGTGATATTGGAAATAGGAACACACTTTTTGAGCCACAGGGCCAATCACTCTGTTGGGATTCTTCCATTTAATCCTCACAATCCTGTGAGGTAGACGTTATCATTTTTCCATGCAACAGAGAAGGAAACAAAGACTCATAAGCCTCTACATGGTGGGGCCAGTTTGGCTCCCAGGTCCACGCTAGCCCTAACTATCTCCCAGGAGTCTTCAGTCTCCTGGGCTACAGGAGGATTTGTAGGTGATTTTATACACGCGCACACACACACATACACACACATATCTACTTTTTTTTTGGTCAAAAACATTGAGCGTAACCTCCATTCAACCTTAAACTGATACCGTGGCAACAGAATGGCAGTTTGCAGTTGTGCTGAGAATTTTCTGACTCCATTTGAGCAAGGTATTGTGCTAGGGTCAGCCAAGCAAAGATGCATCTGGAATTTACACACCCAAGCTGGAAAGCAGGTGTTTTCTAAGACAGGTCTGAGAAAGTGATGTGGCTTTCAGAGCTGGGGAAGCATCTAAGCAAGCAGAAGGAAGGACAAGGGGATGGCTCCTGAGTTATTTCCACAGCACCTTCCATACCTTTTCCATGAGTCAGATGGGCCACGCATTACTCAAAAGTGTCTAGTTAAATCCTATTTGAAATAAAGGGCACAAGGCCAGTGCCCAGTGCTTGATATACTTTAAAATATGTGGAATGAATTAACGAATGTAAAAAAACACCCAAGACAAACACAGGCTGCACATAACCTTATTTTAAGGTTTGTCTTTAAATCTCCTTTTGGGGAAAACCATCAAAGGGCAGTTCAGGAAATGCCAAAGCATTAAGATGCATTCAGTTCCACTGTCAGAAAGACTTTCTGATGTACTTCCAAGAGAACATTACAAACAAACCTCACATCTATTCACAAACACAAAAATGCATGTCCTCTTGTTCACCTCATTCATCCTTAATCCAAGACAGTCTCCTTTCCCCTGGACAAGTACCTGTCAGCATTTGCTGTTTTAAAAACTGGCAACGCCAGATAAGAAAGATGATCAGAAACACTGAGCTTCTCCTTGCTGGGTAAGGTAAATACCTTAGAAAGGTTAAAATGACTCACGCATTTCAAAATTCAAATTTTGAATCAATTAATTTGAACTTTTTCAAAAGAGGGATGCTTTATACTCTACATCTTGCCTATGGCTGTAATTTTGGTCATAAAAGTTATAAATTAAATGGTTCTGTGTGTTCACATATACCCCAAAGTGCACACACAATGATTTTTCCATAAAAATCGTAAAATCATCTCCAAAATCCTACATACAGTAAAGACAAGACAGCAACTATTACTGAATGCTGTAAGGGTTATGAGAAAAGCAACAGCACCACAAATGGCTAACCCTGGGCATGAGTACAGGAGGCAGAAAGATTGTGTCCAAGATGTTCAAGAACCATAGAAAATCAAATTGAATGATTCTAGGTTTATGCTTGGTCAACAAAAGAGCAACACTGATGCTCATCTATGTACAAAAATAATTTCATTCTCCCAGTTTATAAACATAAGCTTGAAAGAAATAACTCTCACAGTAATAACAAAATAAAAGAAGTAACTGCTCTATGTGGTACAAACTAAAAAGGAATTCTCACCATTTTTGTTTGGAGGCTTTAGAATGAAACCACGAGGAAGCTATCAGGAAGGCCATGCTAAAATTACCAAGAAATGCTCACTGCATCCTACATTTTTCTTACCATTTTTTCTTCTTTGGCAGGTGGACTTCGAAGAAAAAAGCAGAGAGGGGCAAAAAGAATATCAATGATCCCAATAATTGTCATGAGCCATGGAAATCCAATTGCCTTTGCAATAGCACCACCAGCAGAAGGACCTTTCAGAAAACAGAGAATTAGATAAAGTTCTTTCCAAATGTCTTGTAGACTGAAAGATGCAAAGATTTAAATAATTTTAGTAGACATTATCCGTTGTGTATTGAGGGAAAAGGTTGTTATGAAAAGTCAATGTCCTTACCTATAGCATACCCCATACAAAATGCCACATCTGCAATGGCATACACACTCCCATAGACGGACACGTGCCGCAGGTCGACGAGGTAGCCCATGATGGGCATCATTGACGAATCCACCATTCCTGAGGACAGTCAGGGAACACAGTGTATAGCAAACAGATGTAAACCCAAAATGGGCTGAATATCAGGAACTGTGCCTTAAACTCACAACCCTGCCAGCTCTTCCCCTTCTGTCATCGCCACCTGCAAGTCTTGGGGTGATACTAATCTTTGAGTAGAAAGAACAAAGGAAGCCTTTTCTGACCCCCCAGAGGAGGTCAGGTTCCCCTCGCACACAGATGTTCTCTCACAGCGTCATCTCAATTGTCATTCATTCTTCAATTCTTTGCTAAATGCCTAACTCTTCTGTTGGTTTTGTTCACCCATATCCCCAGCACTTGTACATATTAGGAAGCAGCAAGCACCATTTCAATGAAAGAAATTTTCCTCATCTGCCTGCCACTGACACATGTGGAGGGGAGGGCACCAACCTCTGAGTCCCTGCCAGTGTGTTCACAGACACTGGCTCACAGCAGCCAATCATGAGCATCCCCATTTTACAGATGAGGAAACCAATATTCAGACAGGTGAGGCTTGACCACACTCACTGATCCCGGGGAGTGTGAGCCAGGAACTCTGAACACACACCCTCTTTACACTACCTGCTCCCCACTATTCAAGAGATGAGCTTCTAATGCTGGTCGTGATTGTTGCTGGGGTATATGTCTGTGTGTATGTGTGTATGTGTGTGTGTGTGTGTATTTATGTGTATGTATGTATATGTATATATGTATGTATGTATGTGTTTGCATGTCTATGTGTATGTGTTTATGTGTATATATGTATCTGTGTATGTATGTGTATGTGTGTATGTGTGTATGTACTTGTATTTGTGTATGTGTGTCTGTGTGTATGTGTATGTATGCGTGTAGGTGTGCGTGTATGTGTATGTGGGTGGGTGTATGTGTATCTGTGTGTGTGTATGTATGCATGCCTATGTGTGCATGTATATTTGTGTGTATGTGTATGTTTATGTGGGGTTGTATGTATGTATGACTGTGTCAGTGTGTGTGTGTTGTATGAATGTGTATGTGTGTGTTGTATGTGTGTGTATGTGTGTTTTAGCTTCTTTCAGTTCACACACATACACAACACACACATACACACTCATACAACACAGACACAGACACACATGCATACACACACATATACACGTACAGCCCCACATAAACACACATACACACATATAACTTCTGATCAGTGCCAGATGATCTCTCAGACTCCTTGGACTTCTGGGGTGTTCTGGTCCCCCCTATTATTCTCCACCTTAGAAACACCCACAGTCTAAGTATGTGGCCCAGGTGTGACCGGCAGGAGGTGGGTCAGGCATGCAGGTGTGCTTAGTGGCGAGGGACAAGTGAACCAGAAAACAGCAAAGCAGGAAAGCACCAAAAGACGCAGGCCAGGGGCCCATTCTGCCAGGCCTGCAGAATGGCAAGGGGAGCTGCCAAAGGACTAGGCACCCTCCCCAAAAAGATGGGCCATCCAAAGACAGTGGAGGACAAGGGGAGGCAAGGCAGAGGACAGGCAAACAGTCACCTGAGAAGGACCTGGAGTACCATACTGGGTTCTACCCCAGCCTCGGCAGCCTTCTACCATCTGTCCTCAGTGAAAGCTGTGCTGTGCCACTGTACCACTCAAAGGTTACACTCCTGCCTCTACAGGAGTGGACTGAGCACTTACTTTTATCATGATCAATTGGTATATTATAAATAAGAGGTAAAAGTATACCATTCACTCAAAAGAGTGACAAGGTTTTTCCTAACATATTACCGTTCTTAACATTACAAAAGCCCATCTCCTTGCCTATGGAAATTCCTGCAGCACAGGTGGTCATCAACACATTAGTCTGCTACTTGTCTGTACTAAAACCTCTTCAAATTATATATATGAAGCCTTTGCCCCCAGTCTCATGAGAAGACCTGCTCATAGGGAGGAGTCCACACAAATGAGCTCTGTGCAAGGGATTCACTTGTTTGCCCAGCCCCAGCAGTGGAGCATCAGTTTCCTTCTGTAATATCAGCTTTTAAAAAATACTGGTTTTCAGGAAATAAATGACCAGTGCGTAGAAGCAGATGTCTTTACACAGAGAATCAACAGGCTGTAATTTAGCTAAGCTGCCTGCAGCCTCCTTCCAAGATTCTAGAAATTTAGGTTGAGGAGCTACAGTCTACCAGAGGAAGAAGAACCCTTCCCAGTGGAAAAGCGGTTTTCAATGTAGGCACAAGGTTCGTGTGACTTACCAATTGCAAAACCAACTCCAAAGTTCGGAGCTATGAGTCCATAAATGTTTTTCGCAAATGGAATCTGTAAGAGAAAATAAATGTTACGCTAAAATAACAAGAGTTCCAACTCTAAATCATCTCAGAAAGTCCTGAACTTGTTTTTTCTCTGGGCATAGTACGCCTGTTCCCTTCTGAAGAAAAGAGGAGGAAGAGGGGTGGGGTTTGTGAAGAACCGGACCCTCCAAATCTTTAAAAGTCAAAGCTTGAGACAAGTTTTATGGCCACCATGAAAAACTTGTCACCGGTATATGTGAATGATCAGCCTACTCCACCCTCAAGTTTTGACAAGAATAAGTAGGCCTCATGAGGGACTGATATTGGCTATTGGTGGAAGAGATTTTATTCTAGAAAAACATCTTTTTTTTGCTATTGTTTCAGGTTGGTTGTCCTGAAGTGTTTAAGACACTGTCAAGCTGAAGATGATGCAGGGGAAAGTTAAACATAAAATGTAAAATAAAACATTTTAAATAATTTCTGACATAAAATGAAAATACACTCCTTGGAAAGTCTTGTCCAAACATTTTTAAGATGATACAAAATTAGAATAAAATGAAAGCTGTAATAAAATATCAACAAACTCAAACATAAAATGTTTCTTGGTGATTCCTGCCTAAAGCCCAAGTTTTATTCACGGATTGTTCCCACTTGTCGAATGCCATCTTTTACTCACACATAAAATGCTGACTCCCACAATTATCATTCCTAGAAGAGCACAAAGCCACCTATCAAAAGAAAAAGCACCATCAAGAAATGATCATTTGATTTTTTTTCCAGTCCAAATTTTCAGTGGAAATCAAAACAATTACTTGTAACAGCGAAGGCAGAAACAACTTAGAATTTTTGGAAAGAACTACATTATTATAACAGAATGAGTATTGTTTTCATATCATCTTACCTCCCCATTTTGTGTGCAAGTATCCCAAAAATATTGGTTCCAATGAGATAAGAGATACTAGCTGGCAAGAAAGCAACGCCTGTAAATTTATGAAAAGGAGAGCTTATCAGTGCTGATATCAGTCATATGTTAGAAAAACTAATAACTGTAGACACCACAACGTTGATTAGAGCAGATGAAATGAAGCTCCGGGGCCCACACCCCAGCAGCTAATATCCGGCGCCTGCCGGATCCGGTCTCGACCCACGTGGCTTCTCCTCCACACAAAGCCGCTGAGACACTCCAGAAATGAAAGTCCTTTCTCTATCAACTCCTTCATCTTGCCTCCATCTCTGGCTTCACACGTGGGCCGATACGAACAGCTCCTCCCTGGGAACTCAGCACCTGCAACCTTATGTGTGATTTCATCCGACAGAAGTAAGACGCAGTTATTGAAAGAATTAGGGAACCATGAGATAAGCAAAAAGAAAAAAGTTAAAATTACCCCAAACCCCAACCATTACTCAGCTAATCACCACAGTCATTTTCCCCTGTCAGTTTATTTACATATACAAACATATTTATGTGTGTTTTGATTTTTTTAAAAAAAAGGGATTATACTCTATCCTGCTTGTTTCACTTAGCTTTACAAACATTTTTCTATGTCAGAAACATAAATGTCTACCTGGTCATTTTTTGTGGTTAAGTCAGACTTTTTTTTTTTGAGACGGAGTCTCGCTCTGTCGCTCAGGCTGGAGTGTAGTGGCACGATCTTGGCAACCTCTGCCTCCCAGGTTCAAGTGACTCTCCTGCCTCAGCCTCCCGAGTAGCTGGGATGACAGGTATGCACCACCATGCCTGGTTAATTTTTGTATTTTTAGTAGAGACTGAGTTTCAACATGTTGGCCAGGCTGGTCTCAAACTCCTGACCTCAGGTGATCCACCAGCCTCAGCCTCCCAAAGTGCTGGGATTACAGGCATGAGCCTCCACGCCTGGCCTCCTATCCAAGTTTTAATGCTCTCCCCATAGAGGGCACCTGCATCCCCCAGGTTCTGATGTGCCCAGGGTGATTTCCTGCTGGTGGTGGCAGCAGTGGCCTTGAACATGTCCTCCATATTGAACAGAAAGTTCTAGCCATATCAGACCCAGCTTGGCTACCAGGAGAATTGTCCACATCAGCTCTGTCTGATCCTCATCCATTATTAGAACCACAGGACAATCTCTTTATGAGAGACTGCTTTTCAAACTCCTAGTGATTTTAGTATTTTTTCCTTGAAATCAGATATACTAGACTTGATTCCAAGCCTTGCTCACACATAGTAAAACTTACTTTGTTCTCAGTCAGAGGACTGCATAAGTGAGACATGCAGGTAGATATCAGACGACGGAGTGCCTGCTACACCCAAAATGCATGGGGCCTGGAGGTCCTTCTCATCCCAGCAGCTGGCCACACACTCACGAGCAAGTATGATCTTGTCTCTTTAGGATAAAGCATGACTGTCTACCATCAAACCCAGAAACAGGCTGAGTCTTCCAACACAGCAGGGACTTCCAAATAAACGGCTCCATGAGCTAAATCCAAAACCAGATCATTCTAGACATGGGGGTTCTGGGAAACACTAATAAAGAGCAATCTCATTTCATTTTCCAGGGAATTATTTCTGTCATGTTTAGCAAT